TAATTTTTATTAATAATTTCAATGAAAATTTACAGAGACTTTGGATTTCCATTCATTCATTGTTGGTGTTCAGCAACTTAGATAGACATAAAACATTCTGTCCTGACTGGTTCAGGATCTCAAGGCATATTGTTGAAGGTAATTTTTTTTATATGATTATATCATTTATTACCTCATTATGATGCTTACTAAAGAACCACAAAGTCCCAGTGATAGGCAACAAAGTCTTCCTCTTCAGTCTGGGGTTTGGCAGCTGTGTTGTAGGTGGTGTTTGTTGCTGTGTCTCAGTGCCACATGTCTTGGCCATAGTTGTAGGGATGTGCTCTTTTTATGATGATGACAGAAATGGAAGAGGGAGCACATTTCAGGCATTTGCTTACTTTGTGCTGACTTGGAACTAGACAAGGCTCCTTGAGAGTTGTGCCGCTAGCCCAAAGGTCACACCTCTGGCGGTTTGAATCCACCAGCAGCTACAGGGGAAAAAGGTGCACTTTCTTCTCCCAGGTTTTCACAGCCTTGAAAACACAAGGGAGGGGCACTTGAGTTGGTTCTAACTCGATGGTAGTGAGTAAGAACTCAGGCAAAAGCCAGACATTCCCAGGGCCACGTCCATCATGAGGCTAAGATAAGGGCGTGGATCTATACTGCCAGTGTAGAATAGTAAGTAACTGGTGTCAATCATTTGTCTATTCCAGTGATAAATTAGCTGGTAAAACAGAAATGTGTTTGGTCCCTAAATTTATAATAACCTAATAATCTTGAATATCTTGTGAAATACTTGCTGTTATTGTTAAGCACTGTCAAGTACAACTCATAGCAACCCTGTGAACAGCGGATGTGAACCCTGTCCTATCCTGTGCCTTCTTCACCTTTCCTGCCACACTAGAGCCCTTTACAGCAGTAACCATGTCAATCCACTTGGTTGAGGGTCTTCCCCTCCTTCACCGACTCTCCACTCTTCCAAACATCATGTCCCTCTCCAAGGTGTAACACCTTTTAGCAACATGCCTGAAGAATGTGAAATCAAGTCTCATCATTCTTGCCTCCAAAGAGCACTCTGGCTGCACCCTCTCCAAGACATGTCTGTTCTCCTGGCCGTCCATAGAATATTAAATACTCTTCTTCTGTCATTTCTATTCATTGTCCAGTTCTCAGATGCATAGCAAGTGATCAAAAAGAGTATGGCCTGAATCAGACAGATTTTAGTCCTAAAAATTACATCATTACTCCTCAATAATTTGGACAAGTTCCTAATTGCGGACTTGCCCAGTCCAGTGTGTCTCCTTATTTCCTGACTGCTAGTGCCACGGGTTTTAATTGTGGATCCAAGTAAGATGAAGTTGTTGGCAGTTTCAGTCTCTTCTCTATCCATCAAAATGCTATTGGTCCAGTGGTAAGAATCTTTATTTTTCTGACATTGAGATGGAGTTCATACTGAAGGTCGCATTCCTTGATCTTCTGCAGCAGATGGTTCAAGTCCTCCTCTTTCAGCAAGAAAGGTTGTGTCGTCTATATAATGCAGGTCATTGATGAATCTTCCTCTGATTCCAGTGCCACATTGCCATTTACGTAGAATCCAGCTTCCTGAATAATTTTCTCAGCATACAGATTGAATAGGTATGGAGAGAGAATACAACTCTGACACACTCCGTTCTTAATTTTAAGCCATGCAGTGCTCCCCTGCTTTGTTCACACAGCACCGTCCTGGTGCAGGTGTAGGTTCGCATATGCACATGGAGTGGTGTGGGATTCCCATTTTTCTCATATGTCAGCCACAACTTGTTAAGATCCACACAGTCAAATGCCTTTGCATAGTCTATAGAGCACAAATAGACATTCTTCTGGTATTCTTTACTTTCAGCCAGGATCCATCTGACATCAGCAGTGATATTCCTGGTGTCACAGCTTCTTCTAAATCCTGTTTGAACTTTTGGCAGCTCCCTATCTTTGTACTGTTGTATCTGGTTTTGAATGAACTTCAGCAGTATTTTGCTTGCATGTGAAATTAATAATATTGTTCAATAGTTTATACATTCTGTTGGATCACCTTTCTTGGGAATGGGAACAAATATATATAATAGGTGGTAACATAAAATAATAGTCACTAGGACTGTGGTGGCATGCCTATTAAACAATGCCACTGGTGTTTCAAATACCAACAGGGTCATCCATGATAGAAAAATTTCAGTGGAGTTTCCATACTAAGAAGCAGTGCTACCTATCTACTTCTGAATTAACACACCTTTGAAAACACTATGGGTATGGAAGAATATTTCTAGATAAAGTACTGGAAGTGGAGCCCTTCAGTTTGGAAGACACCCAAAATGCAGCTGGGGTAGGGCTACCTCTTCATGGTAGTGCCTGCCATAATGATGTGGATGGAGTAAAGCTTTCACTCAATAAAAGCTTTCACTCATTTGAGGATGTGAGAAGACCCAAATAAAAGATGGAAAAGATGCAAATATTCATTAATAATTGGAACATAGAATGTGTAAAGTATGTATCTGGGAAAATTTAAAGTTGTCAAAAATGAAATAGGACATAAAGATTGATGGCCTAGGCATTAGTGAGTTGAGAGGGGCCAGAACTGGCCATTTTGAATTAGATAATCATATAATCTGTTATTCCAGGAATGACAAATTGAAGAGATACGATGTCATAATTTTTTAATGGATGATTTATTTTTTATAACTTATTATTAATTTTAATTTATGAGTAGTTGGCGGTCTGTTCCACAATCAGCTCCTGGCCTAGTTTTCACAGCTGATATTGAGCTTCTCCAGCGGTTCTTTCCACATATGTAATCGATCTGATTCCTATG